CTTTTCTACGGCATTTTCGAATAGCGGTGGAGTGACCTCCGATGAACTCTTTTTTTTATTGCGAGTAAGTGGCAAACTAGCTGATGGTTCACCTGTTGTCGCCGCCCATGGACATTTGCAATACTCGTAGGGTTGTAAATGCGTTGCCAACTTTAGATAAAGTGGGCCCCGGCTACCTCACTCACCAGGCGAAACGCAGAAGTGTAATACTACTACGCCGGTCTTCCATGGGGTCGTGGTACTTACCCGGACGGACTTCGTACAACAGTGAACACTGTTGCGTGGCCCTACCACAGGATACCAAAACTTTTCTAACATTTCACAATACCAATCCATGCAAAGGCGTTTCTAGTCTTCAGTCAACCTATGGAAAATCCACCTGGTATAAAGGTTCCTAACAAGATTTTTGGAATTGCCACCAATTTTATTTGGCTTTTCGCATGTTTCTAGCTGGTCAGTTCTAAAAACTCAGAGTAACTCTATATATTTACTAGCGACCCACCTCGGCTTCACACGGGTGTCGGGTATTATACATATAAACCTTCCTCGTGAATCACTTTATCTAGTAAAAAACCGCATCAAGATCCGTTGCGTAGTTTTAAAGATCTGAGCATACATAGGGACAGACAGATGGGACGACTTTGTTTAATACTGTTATTTTTGTACTCTTTCTTGTTGTGCACCACTTAAATATTTTTTATTCTGTTTTTGTTATTTTTAGTTATAGCGTATATCATCTGTGAAAATTTCAACTTTATCAACTATCATGTTTCCTGAGATACCGCTTGGTGACAGATTTCTAGTGGAGAATGCAGTATAGAATTAACAAAGTCACGTAAAAGAACATCACCAGTCATTCTAACTCTCGGGAAACCCGATATCAATATACTTGTCAGTTAACAAATATTTGTTCAGGATTGCTGGTTTTGCACATGTTCATTAAAGTATTTGTTTGAGCTGAACAAATGTATATCGTTGCGTGAATCATTAACACACAATCATAACCAATAATTTTTACCGTATCCATCAATGGATAAATACCTTTGGTAAAATAACAAATAAAAATGTATCGTTAACGTTTTGGTTTTTGATTGAAACCAAAATTAACAAAGCTTATAAGAAATTTATGATGCCGTGCTAAAAAAAGTGTGAAAAACTTAGAAGAGAATTATTGTAAATTTTATAAACTTTTATTATTTTTTTATTTTAATATATTAAATTGGTTGGCAGATTAGTTAACGGTATAAGAATCACTTTGTGAAGTGATTACTTATTTTTAATATAAATCACGAGTATGAGAAGAATTTATTCATGAATCCACAAGTTAATTAAAGAAAAAGACTATACTTACTGTATGCGCCTATATGTTCAGATCCAAGTATCACTTTGTTAAACTTAGATATAAACATATCGAAATCTATACAAGCACCTTAGTAGTTAAGAGTTACTCTTTCATAAAAGTTATTTCCTTTCTCAACTTCGATGGGAAGTTCGCTATTTTGGTTACTATTTATTGGATTTGAAAGTTGTTTTCGTTTTAAAAATCCAAAGAATAATCACAGACGATTTTCAAACGGCGCCATGTTATGTTTAGCTTAAACCGGAAAAAATGAGGTGAGTAAACTTTGTCAACGCCAATAAATATTTTTAAGTTTGTTCTGGGACTCTGTTCGGAATGACATTAATACGAGTCATATTGAAATATCGTATAGAGATTTTTGACTGATAACAAAATGATTAAAATTTAAAAGACAACAATTTTTTTCATAATAAAATTATGCATATATATGTAAATTTTGATTGTAACATATATAAATATATATAATATGCCATATACCATATACCAAGCCGGTAATGCCAAATCTTCCGATGTTTACCGGCCTGTTGGCCTCTAGCCGCCTCTACCTCAACCGCCACCGTGACCCAACCAGTATTTTTTTCACCAGTATCTTTGTACCCACTAAACACCTACGTTGCACCTGCGCTGCCACTTTTTCCGGGGACACGGAAACACAAAAGCGACTGTGACCTCAGGCTTCCTCTCTCCAGGTATTTGGACATCCCGTCCAGCCAAATGGTGCCGTGTCGGTGCAAAGAACACGGCACCCCTCTCAAGCCCTCTGCGGGGAAGCAGTTAGTCCAAATGTGACGGCCCGGGGTTTTGCTATCAGGTGGGAAGGTTGCGCGCGTAGGCCAGTCGACCCATCCAGTATCTAAGATGACCTTATATACGTCGCCTCTAACCGAAGCCATTTCATTCTACTCCGATAGGGATGATTCCTGTGGGTTCAATAAACTCCAATGTAACCGCACGGCAGCATATATGGATATACTACTGGCACATTTATCATGCAAAGAATTATTTATTTTGAAGCCTTAGTTACTTTATAAGGGAAACTCATTTTTATCCAAATTATAAGAGACGAAATGATTAGCTGTCTTTATTTCCTTAGATATGGTTGCACAGTAATGACTATGTTCAGTCGGCCGCCTATTTATTCGTAAACTTGAAACTTTGGCGTTATTTGATTAAATATTTACCTAAGGTTATTTTTATAGCATCGTCTGCGGTAAGGTAGTTTGTCTTGACAAACTCTAATAAAACACAAAATAAAATGGCAATGTTAAAATTATTATTTTCAAGAACATGTGTACGTGTGCGGATTGACGCACTAGGGTCGCATGGCGGACGCGACGCTCTAATAACCATGAGCAGTAAGAGAATTTTTACCGATATATTATTAAGCCCCAAGTGTGTTATTTAGACCAAAATTGTCCGTGCGAAGTTGGGAAGTATCATTGTAGTGTAGTAGTATGGTGTAGTATTTTGCTGTGTCACATTAGTTCCTGCATAGAAAACATAAATAAATATTTAGGACACAACGTACTCTAGTCTCTACTAAGCAACGCTTACGCTTGGACTATGGGTAAAACATAACTGATAAACAGACTTAAACATACTTTTCTTTTGTAAATTAATACATATTATAAATATATAAACACTCAGACATTGGAAAATTTTCACGGTGGTAGGCCCACGCAGCAGCCTCAGCTGTTGCACGAATGGGAAGGTCCGTCCGGTAAGTAGTAAGTAAGTACCACGACCTCACAGAAGATCAGCGTAAAGTTGAAGTATGACAAATACTTTCGCGTTTCATCTGGTGAGTGAGGAAGCCGGAGCCCAATTTTCAAAAGGTTGTCAACGCATCTGTAACCGTCGGGTGTAGCAGATGTCCATGGGCGGTGGTATTCATTTACCATCAGGTGAACCGTCTGCTCGTTTGGCAACTTTTCACATAGAATGAAAAAACACTATGTTCATCATACAATATTTTTCCAGTAGTGGGGATCGAATTCACGCCCTCTGGTGGAAGAGGTGGTAGATTTTTTGTTGATATTCAATAAGAGCTTAAGTTAAGCCTATATTGAATAAAGATAATTTGACTTGACTTTGACTTTGAGGCAGGTTCACTACCTACTACGCCAATTGGTTCGTCAGTATGCATAGTCTTTAATTTTTTTTTTTTTCATATTTTGTATGATCACTGTACTCGAGCAGCCCCAGTTATAACCGCGCTAGCCCTAGCAACTGAAAATAGAAAATTGTTGTAATTGTAAAATATTAGTTAGCGCGTGCTTGGCTCTTAAAGAAAAGCGTGCTAAAATAAAATAAAATTAAAATCACCTTACCTTATCAGTTAGTTAAGTTTAGAGGTTGGCTATACAATGCTATATATAGCTTGTGCAATCTTGACACACCCATGATTTTGTAATGACTAACAATATTCTCCTTAAAGCGGATGTACAAAAACAATCACATAATAAACCAACGGCAAATAAAGGCATGATAAATTATTAACATCGTCTCTTAATTCTCCGAACTCCTAGCAGAGGTCGTCGATTTGTCAAAACTAAATATACAGTTATTGATTAGAAAATCGGAGTGCAAAAAATTTTGCATTAACGGGCTGTAAGCAGCTAAGACATGAACGGCGGTAGACAGGACTCGTTACCAGAGGTTGGTTTGAACCTCGGTGGTTTTTATCAATAAATTTTTGATGATTGGATTTCTTATGTACAAATATCATTGTCGTGTATATTGTTGTCTAATCCTTGGAACTAAAAAAATATGAAAATGGATAGTTACTTTTGGTTGTGGTTATCATTTGCTAATAAAGAGTTACATAAATAGTAATCTCTAAAAGGTTCAAGAAACTGATTCTTTTATGTCGTATTGAATGTACGAACCTAAGGTTTCAAACCATACGTTACTATTTCTTCTGTACAAAATTCCGAAAAAGCAACAATTATATTACGAAGTGTGGAGTATAAGGTAAGACTATCAATTTATAATTGTGGTGAGCCACGCAACATTTCGCTGTTGCACGAATGGGCAGGTCCATCTGGGGAAGTATCACGACCTCACAGAAGACCGGCGTGAATTGGGAAGTATTGCAGTTCTGCGTTTCGTCTGAGTTAGCTGGGGCCCACTTTATTAAAATAAAAGGTGGCAACACATCTGCTACCCTACAGGTGTTAAAAATGTCCGAATGAAATGAACCGCCAGCTCGCTTGCCACCTTCTCATATAAAAAAGAGCAATACAGTGGCTTCGACTGTTGCACGTATGAGCAGACTCGTCCGGGAAAGTACCACGGCTGCACAGGAACTGGCGTGAAATGATAACATTATACTTTCGAGTTTCGTCTGATTGGTGAGGGGCCCACCTGTTTTAATGGTTGGCAACGCATCTGCAACTATAATGAAAAATAATGTGTTAAGTATAACGAAGAAACAGTCTTTTAGACTAAATACTAGCATTTTTTTCGCCGTACAGATTTCTTTGGCACTGCCTACGCCGATGACTATGTGCTAATGATGATATGTCAATAAATAGTCCAAGCACGTTTGAAGTTGTTCACTATATTATGAGTACCGGAATCTGAATAAATAGGGGCCACCTCACAAATACTCCATCACTGTCTAACAAGAATTGCAGCAATGAGGACTGTAAGTTACACAGCCATTTTAATAATCGCTATTCATTTTAATAACAATTTGAATTACATATAATTATATACATAATCAAGTACACATAAGATTTATTATCAATTATAATTTAATAAATTTAACGGATTATATAAGTATTATTCATATATTTGAATTGTAGTTTCGTAAATTATGTTGCAGATAGTTTTTGTATAGATTAAGTACTGTAGTTACACGTGTCTTCCTAGTTTCTTAAAAATATTAATATAAATAACACACAATTGTAATAAATTTCGTTGTACGTCTAACCCACACATCAAAATAATATCCATTACCTATATGATGTAATTAATTAATTTATTATTAATTGCGTCGCAGATACTGTTCGTGGTATTTGTGATTTGCTCTTTGGCGCTGGAAATCACATCAGCAATGCCAGAAAGTGAAGAGATAAAATTGGAGCCTTCGCATGCTGATGTACTGGAGCCGCAGGAGTCAAAATGGGGTTGGGGTGGCCGGCGCTTTGGCGGTTACGGCTATGGCCGTGGGGGAGGTTGGGGATACAAGAGCGGTTGGGGACACGGCGGAGGCTGGGGTAAATACGGTTATGGAGGAGGTTACGGTGGTGGATGGAGGGGATAGAGAAGTTTGATTTAAAATAACAACTTCGAATCGATTTTATTCGGAAAGAACTAACTGTGATGCTATCTGTTTTGTAAAAGCAAATCAATTGAGTGTAATAAGAAAATATTGTATTAAAATTTAAATAAAGTAATATTATAAATGTTTGTTTTTTAATTAATTTATGTTTAAAATATTGTATCAAGGTATACAAGTTAGTTTTTAAAAGCTTATATTTTATTTTTTCCTTTATTTATTTATTTCATTAGGTTCACCAACAGCATAATATATAGTAAAATTTATGTGTTCTTAGTTATAGGGTCAATGTTTATATGGTCTTCATAAAATCTGTAAAAATAATTAAATACCTACACTTATATTGATTTCTTGATTTTGCGTGAATATTATACATATTAAATGAAACTAGTTTACGGATTATATCGCATGAACGCTAACTAAAGATAAATTATCATTAAATAAAATAGTAATAGTATCAAGGAATAGCTTTCTAGATTAGTAAGCTAACAGATTAGTAAGTTTAAATTCTAAAGATAACAATTTCTGTTTAAAAAAATTAAAGGTATCGTTAAAAATATCCAGGTCGGCATTTGATCCAGACGAATAATATAATTGTATGCAAACAAAATTTTTGAAAATTATTTACGCAGTCCAAAATTGGTGCGATGCGGGCGAATGTAAAATAGTTTGGTAATACGTGATCTTGGATATGTGTAGGCTTACTTTCTCAAGTATCGAAGAGCATAAAATTTAACCATTGAGAACCTTGTGGAGAAAAGACAAATCAGCTATTATAGTTGGTAAAAATCTCATTTTGTGGGATGCGTTCTATGATTATTTTCGCGATCTTTTTTTCATGCATTTGAATAAAAACTATTAGATCTTCTTGTATAATTTTCATAGCGTGATGCCTTTTCGAGTAAAAACTATTTACAAAAAACGTTATATTGAGTTCGCTGTTTTGGTTTAGTTTCGCATAATATATGCATGAAAATTGCGATATTCTAAAAAATACTTTATGTTTATCTTAAAAATGGAGCGGGATGTTAGGTTGGGAAATTCCTACTTGCAATTTTTGACGTCATTTGAAGCAATTTTTATGCGGGGATAATTTTTGACGTCATTTGAAGTAATTGTTATGAGTTTTAAACCATATTGCAGTCTCCACAATGGGCAATTGTGGATAGTGTACAATATGTTAATTTATTTGTACATATCTCCTAATCCGTAAAGCAATTTGTTTAGTGCCTTATTAGCAACATATCACGAACTATTATTATTAACTTTCCTGCAGGCGAAAATTTAAAGAAATCAGTAGCTTGTGAAGATATTGACCGCCTATATTTAAAATCAAATGGAACATATAGATGTTAAAATAACTAAATGAGTTATTTTGACAACATAATTTCAACAATTGACTACATAATCAATTTGTAATAAGTCCTCTTAATGCCACCTAGCTTTTAAGCCACTTATTTTTCCTTGCATTTATTGTTATTGGTGTTGTCATTGGATACTTTGGATTGAAAAATTTCATCGTAAAATTAATTTCGTGTTATCAAAGTGAGCAGAAATTACGAAGCTTTATATAAAAAAACCAGAAAAATCACCTAAGTAACATTTTTTCCTGTTAGTTCTAGGAATGTAAGCCAATGAAATATTACGAAAATAAATAACATTTTTTGCTTTCTTATGTTTCACGTATGTGTTGCCGGTTTATTAAACTAAAACTCCCGCTAGCTACTACTAGCGACCCGCCCCGCGTTCGCACGGGTTCAATGTATTATAAATATAAACCTTCCTCTGGAATCACTCTATCAAGTAAAAAACCGCATCAAGATCCATTGCGTTGTTTTAAAGATCTTAGCTTATATGAGGACAGCCAGATAGCGGGACGACTTTGTTTTATACTATGTAGTGATATTATATTTTAATTTGTCAAGACTAACCAGCGAACGAAACCAGTTGATCGCAAAAGTTATATAGCGATACCACAGAGAAAAATAAAAGTTTATAACACTTTAATTGTTTTTGTATTTCTTTTACCTACATATTGTTCACAGGTACAAAGTTATTTTAGTAGGAAACTGGCAAGTAAAGTTATATAATTTTTACGTTATTCGTTTATAGAAGGGGAAAAGCAAAATAATTTATGTGTTAAACATAAATGTGATGTGTAATTTTTCTTGTCACTATGCTTAGCTTTGTTAGTCGTTGAGAACATAAACGAGATTTTAAATTTAAATATTTAGTTTATTCCAATTAAAAAAAAACCTATTTGTGTACTCACGTACGCACGTAAGAAGGTATTATACTTCTTTAGTGAAACAAAAGAAAAATAAAAAAAAAATATTTCGTGTGGCAGTAGGCTTCGTTTCTGAAAAAAGACATTAAATGCAATTAATAATCTTCGTCATTCCCTCACTAATGAGGATTGTGACCATACCTGAACCAGTTCAATGGATCGTTGTAGTTTCTCCTGTTGCCTCTACAATACTTTTACTCCATCGTGTTGGAATTCGGCCCCTGGAGCGCTTCCCCTGCATCTGTCCCAGGATCAACTGCTTCTCCAGCTCATGCATTTGTGATCGCACTATATGTCCGAAGAAACTTAGCTGACGTTCTCGGCATATAGAGGTAAGTCTTTTTTTGAAGTCGAGCTCTTGTAAAATTGACGAGTTTGTCCTCATGGCTGTCCATGTATTTTTAGCATTCGTCTCTAGCACCACATTTCGAAAGCACTTATTTTGTTTATGTCTACACTTTTAAGGCTCCAGGTTTCAGCTCCGTATAGAAAAATAGACAAAACCAAGGAGTGCACTAGACAAATTTTGGTAGTTCGACGTTCTTGTTCCTCCAAATTTTCTTGAGGCTTGCCGTTGCGCTTTTAGCCATTCCTATTGGTAATGAATTGATAATGGCTTACATAAATAACTTGGAATAATGGGTAAATTTCATAAAGTTTTTATTGGTTGCCATGATAGCACTATGAAGTTGGGGTCGATTTTAGGTGTCGCGCATCGTCGAAATTCATGCTTAACATCATTTTTCCCGAACGTGCCAAAAGAAGTACGAGTTCAAAAACCGTATACTTATATTATTTTTGTTTTAGAGAATATTTTCGTTGACTTAAATATGATCTAAACTATGATAAATTTCTTCCTAATATAATGTGATTTTGTGAACAACTATTATGAATAGACACTAGGAAGGAAGTAAAAATGACGTTTCAAAAGTGTAAGATGTAGCTAACATGCACACTAATATAGAAAAGTATAGATGTATATTATTTTAGTTCGTTTGCTACGAGAAGCTCGATCTTGATAAATAAATTAATACTTAATGTAAATGTAAAACTATCGTCTATAACACTTATATTATTTACGATTTTTCATATCTAATACGTAATATTTCTAAGAAGTTAATGTTTTTTCGGTTTTGGTCAACTATATTGGCATCATTAATAAGTATTCGTTTCAAAAATTTGATTGTCTAAATAAATAAAATATTCTTTCATAGAGCCTAGCTATGCTCGTGACTCGTGTCTTTTATCTGTAATGCGTAGACATAGGAATTGCGCTATTTATAGCTGTCCCTTGGTGTAGTTCCGGTAACAGGTGATTATTAATAAGACTTATTAATAAGTAGACGTATTCACAATCAATTTATTTTTATTCATAAATCTTATAAAAGGGGAAAATCAATATATTTTATTAGTAGCACATATTGAATTTAGAATTCAAATTGGTTCTTATGTTTACGTCACCAGCCGCCGCCAAAGCCTCCCGCAGCAAAGTCTACACCGGCCTCCCCAGCGGCACCGATTTCGAAGTCTCGTCTGCCTCCAAAACCATCGATATCAAAGTTAGCCGCCGAAGCTACACCAGCCGCTTCTGCCCGAGCTTCGACATCAACACCACCATTGCCCCAACCCCACCTTGACTCTTGCGGCTGTAGAATATCTACAGCAGCATTCCTCTGGTGCACTTCCTCAATTTCACGAGTTGGCAATGCTAAGGCAACAGCCATGCAGCACAAAACAAACGTCGAGCTCAGCATCTGCATGATAAAAAAGAAACAAAAATAGAACTCTCACTGTGGCAGGTTCACGCAGCAGTCATCGCTGCTGCACGAATGGGCAGATTCGTCCAGGGAAGTACCACGTCCTTACAGAATACCGGCGTTAAGTAGAAGTATTATACTTCTGCGTTCGTCTTATGTCTGAGGTAATCGGGGCCCACTTTATTAAAATGTGGCAATACATCTGTAACTCTTCGGGTGTTGCAAATGTCCCTGGGCGGCGGTCTTCAATTAACATCAGGTGCACCTTATCACAAAAAAACACCTTTCATTTATTTGACAAGGAAAGCAGTTATATCGTCTGTACCAATTTTCCTGCAGATATTATTAATTGTAAAATACCAGGCAGTATTTTCAATACCAGGTATCAAACGTAATTAATTATATTGTTTCTTTCAAAGTATCTGCTAAACTAATCACTGTTGTGATCATAAATCAACGTGCATCAAACTTGACTGAACTAGGGAAGTATCGCAAGTTTAATTATAGTTAGACCATGTATTTTTTTGGAGATGGTTGTGGTGGGATTAGTTGATGGCCTTTGAAAAAATTGACTTCGTTTACCTCACTCACCACACAAAATACGAAAGTACAATAACTCCACTTCACACCGCACCGGTCTTACTCGTATGTGGTACCTACTTCCCCGAATGAGACTGCCCATTCGTACAACAGCAGAAGCCGCTATGTGGTCTATCACAATTCACACAGGTATTGACTTGAATTCAATAATTTTTTTATGAAAAAACTTATGAAACTTATACAAAATTTACACTTACAACTTTCATTTTGTTAGTCTCAACCAGAAATGGTGACGCTGTATTTATCAAACCTGTATTTATTAAGATATTTATCCCCACGTAAGTTACTTAAATCATGACTTAATCAATCAACGCGTAAAACCAATAACTCACTGCTTGCGATAACATGTTATGTATTACAAAAAGTAATGAGCATGATAATAATATGTATTAAAACACTTCGACATCTTGACCCCATGATTTCTTACTTTTTTAAATATATAATTCTTCTGTACGTGTGTCTGTCACTGAACTCCTCCTAAACGGCTGGTCACACAAGAAAAACAAAAATTAAAATCGTCAAGTCGATTCGAGAATGGCTTAGATTTACAATTCGGGACACTACAACTGTTTTTTATTTATAAGTTGTCGGATTTAAGTGGTGTGTATAGGACAGCGCCTTTTGGGTCCGCTAGTGTTTATATTTGAAGAACAAAATTAATTTTCCAAAGGTTGTTAACGCATCGGGAACCCTGGGGTGTAGCAGATGTCCATGGCCGGCGGTATTTACTTAACATCCGGTGAACCGTCTACTCGCTTGGCAACATTTCACATTAAAAAAAACATGTATAATGATCTGTCTGTGTCCAAGTTATTTTAAGCTAAGCTTAGCAAGGATATAGTGCAACTAACAGTGTAAATAAAACCTTAACTATTACTTTTAGACATTATCTTCGAAAATTTTGTAACTTATTGACCATATCGAATATTTTAGTATTTCCTTTGAAAAAACATTATTCATCCAAATTTCAACAAATTGAATAAATAATACGCGATATCTCAAATCTCAATGTTAAGACGCCCATTTTTATATTGCACTATCGGAAGTAAAACGAGATATACCTACTGTTTTTTTTGCAAAAGATGATGAAAATTATGTTTTATAATTTCTGTTCGAAAATGCATGTTTAATTTATATATTAAGAAGTTTTACAACATGAGATAAATTTCTTTTATCTATAACTGAGGCCGTTATATTTTTTAAAACAGTTAAGCAGTCAATACAGTGCCCGATAATTTTACAGTATTGAAGTTGTCAGTTTTGTGATCACAAATAGTTATTTAAACATCAATATTTTAATATTTGGTAACAATATAATCATTATATATCAATTTGCGCCCATATATACTTACTACTTTCGAAATATATAAATTCTCTCGTAAATATCTATTGGAAAAAGTCGAAGTACACCGGAATTTATTTATCAAAATACTTGGCGTTTCTACAAAGATCAGTAATACTGATTTAATTAAAGTGATGTCAGAGAATTATATCTTCTTCTATATTATAAAGAGGAAAGATTTGATTGTTTGTATGTATTGAATAGGCTCCGAAACTTCACGTATTTCATTAAAAGATGAAGAAATTCATAAAATTATTCACCACAGACGAAACATTCGGAAGGTTTTATGTGTGTGTATGATAATTTTTAATTTTTAAATTTTTTGTTAAACTTATTGTTTCCCGTGCGAAGCCGAGGCGGGCCGCTAGTATTATATAGAAGAGGATGGGAAAGTGGAGATAAGAACAAATGCAGCGACGAAATAGTTTTATACGTGAGGTGAAATTAAAGTATCTTCGTATAACACTATAGAAGAAGTAAGCCCGTGATCGAATATCAACAACACATGGACAATGACATGATACCGAGTCCCATTGTACTGAGGTTCGGTTTGGCTTTATATGTAATGTTCTTTATTGCAGTTGGTTCTTTTCTGCTTTTCGGATACCCTGTTTCCAAGGGACAAATCATGTGATTCTTTCTATTGTTAAAAAAAAGTAAAAACATAAAATTGTCGAGTGGTTCCATTTTGCATAAATGCGGACTAATTATACAGATGATGCATGTCTATACTGCGTCGCGTTTAAAAACTGTTCCGCTTTACATTATGCTCGCCTTTAATTCAATATACTCGAGCAACCTGATTTCTACCATGGTGCCGGCACCAATGAAGTTTTTAACTTTAAGTGCTGACTTCCGTGATCCGCGGTGAAGGAAAACATCGTGAGGAAACCTGCATATTTTCGAAATAATAACAAAAAAATATATTTCGAAGATATGTGAAGTCCGCCAATTCGCAGTGGGTCCGCGTACTGGACTATGCCCTAATACCCTCTGTATAGAGGAGGCCTTTGCCCAGCAGTGGGACATGCATAGGCTGTTACTTCACTTTTTTTTAACATTATGTGACATATTAAAGTGAATGTGACAAATGATATAGAACGTACGATAAGAAAGAGATCGATAGAATTGCTTTAAAGTTCTTCACTTCTTTACGGCTTCCTTTTTATATATATCCCACTTCTGAGCAAAGGCCTCTGCACAGAGGGTATTAGGCATAAGAGTATATAGCCGGAAGAAGGGATACTTTAAATTTTATTATTATTTTTCGATCTTTTCCTTCACCGCCGAGTACATGTCGAGTCAGCACTTAAAATTGCAATTAAAGTTTTTGGTGCCCGCACCGGGAATTTATCTCGTGTGACTACTGCAAATTGTATTAAAAGCTAGCGACTGGATTCTGAGCTATCACGGCTCTTTTATACTATAGATGTTTCTTTGTTTGTCGTGGTGTTTTTCCTGTTTTTGAATGGAAGTTATTTATTGTACGATTTTACAAAACAGCGATGATCTTAATTACACAATACTTCCCTGACGACATTTATTAACAATGTCTCATAATTATCTATTTGTCAGATTTAAATTGGCATGATTGCAAGTACAAAGGCTCCAGTGTCCCCTCGTATCCCCTGTTAAAAAAACACACCATTCACCTTTCTCGTAAAATTCGTTTAGTTATTTTGATACGAGGAAATAATTATCAAATTATCGTCACAATTTTTTGGAATAAGTATAATGTTATTCATTCATATTCTTGTATGACATTTTAAAGTACCTATTAGCCAATTTATTAACTTATATTCAAAACTTAAATTAAACAAAAAAGATAATGCCACAAGGCCATTTTAGTTAGGTTATTTTTTTCATTTTAAGCTTTATCTAATTCAAAGGTTGCGAGTTTTAAATGCAAAACAAATAAAAATAGTAATAACTTATTAATTATACAATGAATGGTCTCATTTTTTTCCTCGTCAAATATTTGCATAATATGTATGTATCATGTATCTATCTTGCATAATTTCGGAAATATATCGTTTCTAAGTTTTTTTCCAGATTTCTATGTAATTTGTGAATGATAAATGAGTGAATTTTATTAATAATATATAATAAATGCTCGAAAATGATTGCGCCAGGCTCTATTGGGACCGGTCCATCATCACGGACAGGACGATTGTTGCGAACAAACCTGATATCGTGTTGATGGACCGGGCACAGTCGCGGGTATTTTTGGTCGCCATTACCATTCCATATGACGAAAACCTCGTGAAAGCCGAAACAGATAAGAAGACGTATCTGGACCTGGTTCACGATTTGACCGACATGTGGGGTGGTGTGCCGATCGAAATTATCTCGATAGTCGTGTCTGCGAATGGGTTGATCCTAGTTAGCCTCTCCGGACATCTGAGGCTACTGGGACTCCGGGACGGAACGCTTCAAGCTGTAATGCAGAAGGCGGTGCTCCTCGATACCGCCCGCATCGTCCGCCGGTTTGTCTCCCTTTCACCCAAACCCTCGGCCGTTTGGTCTTCCCTGCCGAGGGCTTCCGTCTGGTTGGGTTCTATTTATGTATGTATTATATTTATATCTATTTGTTTATTTCTATTTATAAACCCAACCAGACGAAAAAACAAATGAATAAAAAAATGTGTCCCTTTTTTATGTGTTCTAAAAATATTTAAAACTTCTGACTACTTTGACAATAAAACTTAAAACATAATTCATTGATTATCCTCACTGTCGTAGTTAGAACTTCGTTTATTGTAAGTGAGAGTTCAACTTCCAACATTGTTGAATTTCATGAAGTCTCGTTAAGAACTTATATAGACACTTCTGTATTTAGTTATCTACTTCTGTGAGTGACAGTGAACTATGTTATTTTCAAGAGACAGAGCTTTTCCTAGTTTATGTACTTTTTTCGTATTTTTTGTCATGAACTCAGTGTTATTAACGTTAAATACGGATCAGACGACTCTAAAGGACGCCGGAAAAAATCTGTGATGGTCGTTTTATTTTTTCGATCTACTTTTTTTGTATGATATTGCCGATCATAACTACCTACTACTAGCCTGTTTGTTCCGACAACATACTTATCGCAAAAGTGCTAGCCTCTATGATTTGCCGGCCGTGCATTAAAATTTTGTGTAAGGTTACAGGTTATAAAACCAGGCATATGTTTGAATATATTTTTTAGCCAGACATCCACAAAATTTCTCGAATTTTGCAGCATTTATTGTAAGACCACTTATAACATTATCAATATAGTATGCAAGTTATCCACCAGCCATGTCTCTATGCCCAAAACATCTGCAAATGTTTTACGATTTTGTTCCCGATAAGGTAGTTCGGTATTGCGGTATTCCTACCATTTGTCATTTCAGAATTGTAACAAACAATAGCAATTAAGAGTGACAGTTTAGATCTTATTTCTAACTGTATAGTTTTTTTCGCTCCCCGACAATTTCAGCTTGAAGTGAGTTTTTCGTTCTCTACTTTCTGACTCATTGTATTCAGCTAATTAAAATGTTTCGCTGTAGTATTACACGAGCACAATGTAACTAGGAAATCGTCTCCATAATAACATTAAATACCTTACCATCTATGACGGTTAACTGTAATTTGGGATTCAAGAAAAGACTTTGACCAGCAATGGCAACTGCTGAAATGGTGACAAATTTTGAATTTCTCTCTCCTCGATTAATGTTACTTAATTTTTAATATATCATCGAAACTATGTAAGAACTTTGCTCTTAGTTTTTTTGTATCGTTTTGTATCCAAATTACTCATGAAACCAAGGTGACCGCAAGTGAAGTCAAATCCTACACTCTGGGCCGCCATTATGTCAATTTTATTACTTAATATGAATGAGCAGCAGCCCATTAAAGTTTGTGCATTGGATCAACAAACTGAATATATAATTTTATATTAGTAATTGTCCAAGACCAGGAATGAGCCACGAAAACAGAAAAATATTTTTGCATGTTTACTTAAGCAATAAAACTCAATGAAATGTTACTGCGTAACAAACCCCCGACAGAAAAACCAACTTTACCCCACTACCATTGTAATGAGGCAGTCATCGAGAAATCATAAAGGATGATATTAAAAGAACGTAATAAAGTTAATAAACCACTGCGCAGCCTTCCGTGAATCGGGGAATTACTACAACGACCTAAAGCAGGTTTCGTTTGCAGAACCCAAGTCATTTATCGCGTTATTGTTAATTTGATGTGATTTTTTACATTGATGTGCACGAATATGTGGTAGATTCATATCAAAACAAGATTTTATATGCTTTTTTTACTTGATTTTCTTGTCCATTTAAAACTTGAAACTTAAGAACGTTGTTAAATAAACTGGTTTTCGTCTTTTTTATGATAATTCATAATTCATATCATATTAAATAGTCTTTAGTTTGTTTGCGAGTTATTTTTTCATACTTTAGTAATATTATAGTAGGTAATAGGGAGATAACAGTGCTATATCGAACTGGATATTAGAATCAGCTTAATTATCTCTATATATTATTTTTCGTAGGTGTTTTTTGTCTCATTTCATTCAAAAACTGTTTTAAAGCTTACGTTTTTCTCTATTGATGAAGAATAGACAAGTAGCATAAAGATATTTTTTGCCAAAAACTTTCGTTAAAATTTTTGTATGAAGCATGTGTGATGATGAATTTATTACCATTCGATGAGTAATTACGGCGATTCAACTTTTTATTTAATTAACTTTGCGAAAATTTTGCATGGGTCAACGCAATCTCTCTAACAACAACAAATCTAACGCAAACTCATATAATCTATGAGATGTGGAACCTTCGCGTTTTATTTCCGAAATTCTGGCCTTCAATACTGAAAGACGACATTGCATTTAACGGCAATAGAACAAACTATCTTTACCAATTATTTATTAACAATTGCTGAACTTAATATAGGTAAATCCTTCTTTTTGACTTAGGTGATCTCGATTATACATATATTAATTCACTGCAAAAAATCGATGACGACATCATAAAGGATGTTACATTTCACTAATTGATAACTATTTAATTTAAATAATTATAAAAAAAAATTAAATGTAATATGTTTTCAAATGTGAGAAAATGCTTTCGTAAATAAGTATCTATGTTGTATTATATATTTAATATATATTCCTAGTAGTAAGTACTGTTTTATAATTTAATGTGTTATATAACATTTTAAAATTTAGCTTTTTTATGCGAGGTGGCAAAAGAGCTGGCGTTACATCTGATGGTACGGATAACCGCCGCCCATGGAGATTTGCAACAACTGTAGGGTTTATTAAAAAGTGGCAACGCATCGCCACTTTTTAATAAACCCGGCTACCTCACCCACCACACGAAAAGCAGAAGTATAAACACTTCCACTTCACACCTCTCTTCTGTGAGGTCGTGATACTTACCCGGACGGACCTGCCCATTCGTGCAACAAGGAAGACAGTTAAGTGGTTTATCCACTGTTAAAACTTTTGTAACTTGAAGCAAATCAAGCAAAGTGTTAATTAATTATATAAATTTATCAAATTAAGCTGTTTTATTTAAAATAAAATTTAAACGAATGATGAACAATTGGTGAAATTAAAATATGTGTATGAGTGAATAGCCTTTATTGAAGATACAACTTGATGCGATTTAGAATTATAACTTTAAATGAAACTTTTCTTTTCACATTTTATATCACATAAAATACAGGCGAATATGTGCCAACAGGGAAATGAAATCGATAATTAGGCAAGATTAACTAGAATATTGATGATATATCTGAATTTTGCATTAGCGTCCATAGCCAAATCCACCGCCTCCTCCATAGCCGTATCCACCGCCGCCTCCATAGCCGTATCCACTACCACCGCCGTATCCAAGCCCTCCGCCATAACCACCCCCTCGTCCGAAGCCTCCTGCGTTTCCCCAACCTTGTCCACCATAATGGCGGTTATATCCACCACGGTACCCTCTCGTTTCTTCTGGCTTGAGAACTTCTTCCAGTGTCTGGTCCGGCTTGTTAGGTCCTTCTTCAACTTTTCCGGATGTAGGCATAGTTTGCCCATACCCCAAATAAATACATAGTATTAATCCGAAAGATATCAACTGCAATGGAGACAAAAATCTTTAGAATTAAAGTGTTCTATTAACTCGCGTTTAAGTATACAGTAGATACAATAGTAGTTAGACAAGTACCACTATTTGGATTTAATTTTTCGGTTACGTTTTAATATTAATGTTTCTGCAGACATGCTTTTTAGGGTTCCGTACCCAAAGGGTAAAACCGGACCCTATTACTAAGAATCCGATCTGTCTGTCTTTCACCGGGCAAAACTTCAATTTCACACATAATATATTTCTGTTGCCGCTATTACAACAAATACTAAAAAACAGAATAAAAAAATATTAAAGTGGGGCTCCCATACAACAGCCATCATATTTTTTGCCTTTTTATAGACAATGGTACGGAACCCTTCGTTTGCGAGTCCGAATCGCACTTGGTAAAAATAATTTATATTTGCGTAAAATTTAATATACACACATTTGTATAAAGTAAGTATTATTTGAATGTTGTCGTTATTAATAAAACTGTTCGATAAACATAATACTAACATTAAATTAAAATGTGTATATCGGTGAGGATATCAACCGCTTAGTTTAGTCACTAGAGCGTCTGGATGTGTAATCCGCAAGGCATAGATTCGATTCCCGGCAGCGGTGAAAAATCAATGCGGTTTTTCCACGATTTATGTCATCTTAAGATAAAGAAAAATTAAATACAAAATAGGTTAAAAATTTAAAGAAGAAACTTACCGTCTTCATTTCGTGATGCCAATTTAACAATGAAGGTGGTTTTCGGTGTAGCGTCCTTTTTATTCGATAGCGCCTCAGTCTTGTATGACTTGTCTAAAAAAATGTAATAATCGTGGTAAACCATGTATGTCTAAGGTACGATTATCAAGAATGGTTGTTGATTATTCTATTTTTGTGAGATTTGTGATGAACAAAATTTTATGACTTGCATAAATTGAATTATATGATAGGCAATACATATTATATTCAATATGTATATTTTTAATTCATAACATAAAAGTTAAAGCGATAATTTTAAGTTGATACTTACAACGTCTTAATTGAAATTGTGGCCGTAAATTAAGAAAATAAGAAAAAAGACCAGAGAAGCAAAAAAAACTGCACTTTGTATCTATATTCATGCGAAAAGTATTAATTAATTAAGAGACTGCGTTTCAGTAGCCGTTTTTTTTCTTTTTTTCTCTTTTTTAAAAATGTAGCCCTTACTTTAGGATAACATTATCCTGTGTTGTAAGGACGTTCTACAAACATAAATTTCACGAGCACAAACACCCAGATGCGAAACAACTATCAGTGGGTCACACAAATAGTTGTCTCGTGTGGGGATCGAACCCATGACTCCCGACACCGTAGCCAATACATTGACAACTGCGCCACGGAGTCATCGTTTAAAATAAAATATTTACTGCGTAGGCATTCCTGGATAATAATTGTTTAAATAAAACTATTTTACAGCTTTCGTTCCGATTTATTTTAAAATGTGAATGTCGTGAAGATATGGACAAAAACCAAAACGTACGCCATCTGGGTAATACGGCCAGACGCTTTTTACCAAGCTCAGTGGCTCATGACCTCACGACGCCATCTCTACAGATTGTTTCTACTCCTACACATATACAAAATTACCATAACTCGACTAATTTAAAACATATAAGTAATGAAGCCTACTTAGATGCCTAATAATATAAACTTATTTTTAATTATTATTTGTAAGAATTTTAATTATTATTGACACATTTACACCTAAATTTTTAATTGTTTAAATGAGACCACCTTTGTAGAGCCTCCTCCATTTTTTTCAATTTTATTCTGTCTCTCGCCTTTGTTAGCCATTTGTCCCATGCTATATCTTTAACGTCATCGACCCATCTTCTTGATGGTCTTCCTCACTTCCTTTTTCCCTTGGGTTCAGTCCATGATACGGCGCAACTCTTCCATCGGCCATCCTCTATTCTAGCTAAGTGACTAGCCCAATTCCACTTTAGTTTTATGGAGTGGTGTAAGAAATCTATAATTTTTGTTCTTGCTCTGATGTTAGCGTAGCGTTATCTTTCTTTCGGATTCCTAGAATAGATCTTTCCATGGCAACTTGTTGAAATTTTTTTGTGTATGTCCAGGTTTGACATCCATATGTAAGACAGAGATAGTATGCTGCTATCCATTACTTTCTGTTTCACAGAGAGCGGCATATCTCCTTTTAGTATGTCTTTATGAGCCCAGTATTTTTGCCATGTTGTATTTATTGTTCTGGTTATTTTTTTCAAATTGTTGTTCTGATGGAATGAGACTTATTTCCCAAGGTATATATAAGTATCTACATATTCAAGATTTTATTTTTCTGTCTTTATTGTCGATTTTAAAGAATGTGTCATTAATTAAGTTTTTTGCAGGTTCATTTTAGAAATGAACGCTTTCTGCTTGTAGGTACAGTATCATTTGCTCTAGTTGAGAACTCGTTTGTGAGAATAATACAATATCGTATGCAAAGCGCAAGTGGCTGAGGTGTTTTTTATTTATTTTAATACCAAGACTAACGCTCTGCCAGTTGAGTTTTTGGAATATGGTTCCTAGCAAGGCAATAAAGAGCTTTGGAGATAAAGGGTCGCCCTGTTTTATGCCTCTTTTTATTTTTATTTCCGGGCCATTCGTTTCTACTTGTGCTTCTCTCGTAAATGTTTTTTATTATATAGCAATATGTTTCCTCTATATTGTTCGCCTTAAGTGCCTCCCATATTAAGACGTGTGAGATAGAGTCAAATGCTTTTTTGTAATTTATGAAGGCTAAGTAGAGGGGTTTTTAAAATTCCTTGTATTTCTCTTTATGCTCTCGAGGGTTTGAATATGATCTACCGTTGAGTATCATTTACAGAATCCCTTTTGTTATATCGTTTGATTTTAATCAATTATATATTCGGCTATTCTCTCAGATATTCGGCTTAAGGTACATTGTGAGAATAGTTTGTAGAGGCTGGGTAGAAGGATAATAGGTCGATAACTGCGTATATCTTTTGGATTGCCTTTTTTATACAGTAATGATGTTTGACTAGGTCCATTGCTCAGGGACTCTCTGTTCTCTACTTATAATGTTAAATAAATAGGTTATTATTGGTGTGAGAAATGTTATAGCCAATTTTGATGTATCATTTAGGATACCGTCTGGTTCTGGACTCTTGTCTAATTTCAACCTTCTTATTTCCCTATCTATTTCTTCTTCGTTTCAATAGATGTTCGCCTTGTTTTGTGAGTGAAAAATTACAGGTTGAATTCTGAATTCATGGTCTTTTATTAAAGAGCTTTGCGTAGAAATTCGTTGCTATTTTAAGGATAAGGTGTAGGGTATAGACATCGTATGCATTTAAATGTATGTAATATGATATGCTTTTTTTGGATGAAATTCAGAGGTCATACTTTGAATATGAATCAATCCTCATATTTACAGAATGAGAAAAACGTGAGGATCGAACTCTCTAGATTCACCACTAACTATATATACTTTATTTTCATAATTCTTTTAAAAGATAAATAAAATAGTATAAATAGATTACAATAAAATAGTATAAATTTGAAAGAAATTCAAGAGAGCGGCAAGTTTATGAGTCCCGAAAATCGGTCGTCTCTCGAATTACCTCTCTTTAAATCTTCAACGTTGTAAATTTAAATATTAAACAAAAATTCGTGAAAATGAGGCCTTTTTCAAATCTTAAAATATTTTTTAATAAATTTATTGAGATCATTAATCAAAATCAAATTCGATGTATTCCATAACATCATGATCAATGAAGATTCCATAACAGGCGTTCAAAGTGTGTTAGATAATTTGCTTATTCATGAGGTAATTTTAATAATTTAAGAATAATGGACTTTGCTTAACTAAAGTACTATTTTATTGCCTACGAAATTATATCCCCTGTTTTATCTCATCTATGTAGGGTACGAAAGAGCAGTTTTCATGTTAGAAATTAAAACGCAATGTACGTGACAAGGAATAGTTATTTAATACAAAATTGCCCGTGTGCTGGAAGCCCGTGCCCCGTGAAGTTTCCAGCTAAGGTATACTAGTAATATCGATATGTGAGGGCGGATAGTCAAAATAATGTGTTGACCTCGTGAGTTTTATTGTAAAAAATCTTATTTTTTTATGTGAGAAAGTGGCAAGTGAGCTGGCGTTTCACCTGGTGTTGAGTTATATCGGCGGCGCATTTACATTTGCAACACCCATACGGTTGCAAATGCGTTGGCACCGTTTAGTTAAGTGGGCTTCAGGTACCTCATTGACCAAAGGAAACGCAAAAGTATAATACTTCCAATTCACGCCGGTCTTCTGTGAGGTCGTGGTACTTCCACGGACAGACTTGTTTATTCAGTCAGACAGGACCGAACAGTCAGACAGTCCTCCTTTAACGTGCATGTCTACAAGATAATAGTAAATAATCTTTTATAATTGACATACCAACTGTATTAAATACCAACGACTACATTACTACAGTTAGCATCATGTGGACTTAGAGTCAAGTTTTTGCTGTGGTGTTAGTCTTTAAGCGGTGCGGTGTAAACAATATCTGTGCATAAAAATTCTAGTACGTTAGGGGTCTTTAATTTCAAATAAATCATAATCATAAACAAGATATTTTTCGAAGCTAAAGTGATACCATACATAAGTTTACCGTAAGTTTTTTGGCACAAAAAAAATTATTTTAGATACAAAATACGTGATCATCTTTATCGACACAATTTTTAACCGTTTGAGTAGAATATTTGTTTAATAATTTGGTGGCTAATGTGCTAATCTTCTTGTTTGATGCTGTAGTAAGATTCATAACTTGGTATGTGGTAGATAACGCTTCAGAACTGTTGGGTCGCTTGGTCATAATAGTTAACAATTTCGATTTATTTACTGATTCCAGATTAACTGATGTTTTGTTCGTATTTAATAAAGCTGTGGTTGATAGTTGTTCTGTAACACTTTTCGACTTTGAATCGTTATGAGCGTGTGCTGTAGTCTGTGTCCATTTTAATTGCTTTATATTATCTTCACTGTCTGACGGAAACGTGCTACTTGTAATATATTTATATAAATAACCGCATTCAAGTCTGTTTCCTCGTATTCGGCATCCATTTCCTAAATCTATTGATTCCTCCTTACTTTCAACTTTGCCATTGTTCTTGTTATAGCCACAGAGAATTCGGTCTTTAACTTCCCTGCAAATTGTTTCATCGAAGTCATATCCATTTGAATGAGTTTCCTTTTCATCAATATCAAGAGTATTATTGTTCGATCGCAATAACTTTTGTATTTGTTGCTTTGTTGTTTCCATTGCGTCATCAATTTTCGACGTATTTGCTTCAAAAACTAATGGGTCAAATAATATGTGACCGAGCTTAGGGAAGCTATTCACGACAACAAAAATTTCAATTGTTATTAAGCATAGCTGTAAAAAGAAAAACCTGAAAATATGTTTACTAAAAACGTCGTTTATTCAATTTCTCTTCTATGTTTTATCGTGTATTTTTTTACATCAGGTATTTAAAAGAGTATTCAAAATTTAGAATGAAATAAAAAAAATTGGTAAAAGTTTTACTAATTTTAGAGATTAATAGATGATTTTAGAGATTAATAAATAGAAATCATATTTATTTTATAAAACGTATGGAGTATATACTTCTAATTGCGAATATTTTGCTTAAAGAGAACTTCTGTTTAAAGTATACAGGACTTACCGATAACGGCAATGTCATTGTAAATTCAATTATTACTCAAAACCATATTGGTTGGACTACACGTGGAAATAGGTTTTTCTAATCATACAAGTACCTTTTATTCGTTTTCACATAGTAGAGACAGCAAATTCTATTTTTATTCTATTAAATCAATTTTAAATTTTTGAGTTAGTGTACGTGGGACATTCAGAAAGTTTTGAGATACTAAAAACTAACTGATATGGATAAAATATTTGCATTAAATCTTTTCAAGGTTTCATGCGTCTTAAACAATTTTCAAAGCACTTTTTTCTGTTGCCGCAGAATCCTTTTTTACGGCTTTCTCAGACGCTGTTAGCGCGTCTTCCAGACCAAAACTGTTACAAAACTTTAGTTGATTTTTTAGTGTAGGGGATAAGAATAAGTCACACGGTGGCAGATCAGGACTGAACGGAGACCCAAGATTTTGATCGGTGAGTCCAGGAAATCCTTGGTTTGAGTGCTGAGTGCACGAATGTGTTGTCATGGTGAAGCAATATCCAGCGTAGCCCGGTGTTCGGTTGCTTGTTGCTCATTACATTAAAAGCTTCTGCCAAGGATTTTGTAGTATACCATTCGGCGCTGCTGATGCTTTGATCTCGTAATGGAATTGGTACCAGATACCCAGTTAGAGTGAAGAAACTTACGATCAAAATTTTCTCTGCGCTTCGCAATCACTTCATTTTTGTAGGCGTTGGTTCGTTTTGAAACAGCCAAAGTGTCGACTGACGCTTTTTTTCTGGACTGTCACAATGTCGTAAACGCGGCGAGACGAGCCTACGTCAAATTTAGTAATCATGTAACGGCACCATTCCAAACGGGCCTCCTTCTGAGCTTCAGTACGAGCTTCTTTAGCCAGCGCGAGATTATCCTCCTCACGCGAAGGTGCTTATGTATAATCTTGTGAACGCTTTCCGAATCAAACTACATTGTATGGTGAATCTTTTTGTATGTTATTCGCCTGTTTTCATTCGATAACAGCCGTTGAAGGATGACCACTTCTTTGTTTATCCACCAAGTTATTTGAAGTTAGTCAAACGACTCGTCCTGTCAAACCACAAAAAATCGTAAAAAATGCTACCGATGTAGATCCATTTTTACATGAAACACGATTATTCAATTTGCCTCTCAAAAAGTGTGGTGGTATATTTAAAATTCGAATATCTTTTTTTTTACTTTATATAATTGCGACGACCCGAATGGCGTAGTGGGTAGTGTACCTGCCTTCTGCGCCAGAGGGTTCGATCCCCACTACTGGAAAATATTGTGTGATGACCATAGTGTTGGTCTAGTGTCTGGGTGTTTATATATGTATAATGTGTATTTATTTACAAAAGAAAAGTATGTTTAAGTATGTCTATTAGTTTTCTAGTACCCATAGTACAAGCGTTGCTTAGTTTGGGATTAGAGAACGTTGTGTAAAAAATGCGTCCTAAAATATTTATTTATATTTAATTAATTCATTTTTAAATAACTATTATCAGCGAGGGTCTCATGCATAAAATTTTTTTTTCCTAAAACTATCTGAGTTGACTGGTAATCGCGCGATTTGAATTGTTTTGATTGTTCGTATCCTTAATATTATTTTACATTAAATCGCCTTGTATTATAAGGAAAAAGATTTCAAAAGAAAAATTAGAAGAAATATATAGGCTTTCTATTGCTATTGGATTACAAGAGAGCCGGTTACTATCTCGCTCATATGTAAATTTTTTTTATATAAAAAAGCAAGCAACTGGTTCACGCGATGTCTTGTGATTACCATCACCAATTGACGGTATAACACCAGTGAGCTACAGATTAATTAACAGACTTAACTTTTGCGGGTAAATTAAAATCAATTTGTACTATTGCATTTCACATGGTAAGTGAGGTCTTTGGGGTCTACTTTTTAAACCTAGTGACTGTGTCAGGATTTCAACCTGCGTCTTCCAGATTACGCGTCCAGACGCTCTATTCACTAAGCTTATAATAACTAATACTATAATGAATAAATTTGTACAAAATGAAGATCAAGTCTTGTTTGGAAATTCTTAAGGTTGATAGGAGTTGGCAAGTAACGCTTAAACTCATTTCCAAATAATTTAGATTTAATGCTGATTATCCAGCATTTTACTTCTTCAACTTGCATAGATAATGTTGCCAAATTCCGACGCTGTTTGGATTAGTGACGTCAGTTGTGCACAAGTGATGCACAAGTTTACTTCCTTTACCCAAAAAAGCAAATCCGATTTTTCGATTCTTCCATTCCTTTCCTAAAGTCCTTGAACGCCTTAGAACGTCTAAGAACATTCCTTTTGTACTTAAAGCAATATCCTGGATCCGCTTCAGTCTGGTTTTAGGTCTGGTCATAGTACGACTACGGTACTATTAAAATCACTGAAGACATTCGCCTCGGAAGGGACAGACGTCTAGTCACAGTATTAGTCTTGCTGGATTTCAGCAACTCCTTTAATACTGTAGACCATGATATTCTATTAGGTGTACTGCGTTCTCTAACATATCTCCAACTGCAATTTTCTGGTTTCGTAGTTACTTGATCCGACGCCGGCAACGTATTCAAGTTCAGGATAGATTTTCAACATGGTTTGATACAGTAGCTGGTGTTCCGCAAGGTGGCGTGTTATCCCCACTGCTAATTGCAGTTCTCATTAATTCTATTTCTACCCAAATATCTTCTCTTTACCACTTATGTGCAGATGATCCCCAGATGTACACTCAAACCACTGTGGGGGATCTTCCAAAAGCTGTGGATAACATTAATAAGGATTTGGCTTGTGTTCTCGACTGTAGGACAATATGGTTTGACTGTTAATCCTATCCAAATCTTAAGCCATATTAATTGGAAGTTCAAGAATAATCGCAAAGTTAAATAAGAACCAAATAGATCCAGTTACTTTTAATGGCATCGTAATCCCTTATAATGACAATGTTAAATATTTGAATATATTGATGGACTCCAGTTTTTTGGATCTCTTAATTAATGCAGTCGCCCGTAAAATGTTTGCAGCATGTGGTTCGCTCAGAAGGTTGAACTTCTTTTTACCTATTTCCACTAAAATTACGCTCGCTCATTCTTTGCTGCTCCCTATCCTTGATTATGCTGACATATGCTATCTTGACATCACTGAGAAGCAACTTAATAAGTTTGATTCCAAAACTTATATATACGGTGCATTTTCAGTCTTTTACTTCGTCTTTTACTTCAGTCTTTGGTCCTATTGTAAATATGAACATGTATCAGAATATCGCATTGAGCTCAAGTGGCTCCCAATTCATTATCACCGGAATACTCATATTCTTTCTGCTAGTTCAAATAAAGTTCAAATGAAAACCTCTTCTTTAAACATTCTCTATTTTTTTACCATAAATCCTTCTTTGCTGTTTCTCTTAAACTCTGGAACTCTTTACATTTGGCTATTAAATGTGCTCAAACCCTAGATTCTTTTAAAAACAGGTTAAGGTGCATTATCTGTCTGTCTAGCTCCTCACTATCTTGCGATGTCTCTCTCCATCTCTTTTTATCTCGCTCTTAACTCTATGATCACTCACAAGAGGTATGTTTTTCTTAATAATTTAATTTTGATTGCTGCTTTCTTTTTATTTCTTTTCATGTACATCCTACCCATCAACAATTCCTTTTGGTAATTTTCTGAGGTTGCCTGGAAGAAATTGCTGTGAAGCAATAAGGTCACCTTTTGATGAACAAAAAACAAAAATATTTTTTTTGTGCTTTTTTCTTTTTTCTGTTCTGGTGTACAATAAAGTATATTATTATTATGTGTGGATATTTATTACCCATATGTTTTATATAAATAAAAATAACCATATGGATATAAATATTGTATGTAATACATAAATAAACAGGACCCAAACAGACAGAAGCCCTCGCAGGGGAGACCAAACAGCCGAGGGTTAGGGCGAAAGGGATTATTATTATTGTTATTACTTTAACGTAACGTACACACACACGTGTGAAGTGTGCTTAAATGTGTGCTTTTTTCTGGAAAATACCTCACGTTTTTAACGTCTTACAGAACCCTGGATAGTTACGGGATAGACTGAAGTGTTTTAGCTAATCCAGGCAACCGATCTACCATGAGCACCAAGAAGACCTCATAAAAGATGCAAGAAGCAATATGTCCCTCCTCGATACAGGCATGCCTAGTGAGGAGACAATAGACGTTAAAAAGTTTCAGCAAATTGTACTTAAAGAAAGTTTTGTACATGTTATTTATAAGTTGTTATTGTTTTTCTAATTTTTGTAGTAAATAAATGTTTTTTTTCAAACATCCAGTATATCACATTTATTACAGACTAACTAATGAATAATTAGAGGTAATAAATTAAATGTTTATTGATGTGTTTGTGCGCCAGCTGTACATAATTGGTTTTAATTAAAAACCTTTTGAGTTAGTCGTTTTGCGATAAGAGCAATGACTAGATTGTACGTCAAGTTTATTATGGTTAGATGACAAGTTATTTAAAGATATGATTAATATAGTGAACAAACAGACGAAATAGGCAAGCTACTTAATTCATCTTTATTTACAGTTATTAGCAACAACATCTTGGGGAGTGATGGCAATGAATTGTGTAACACAGAATAAAAATAAAGTTAACGAAGCGGAACTATTACATAAGGATGCCACTCGAAAACCTAAAGTGAAATCTAGAAGTCGCTGTTGTCCTTACGACTTCGACCCCAATGATTGTAAAGTCGTCGGTGAGAGATTGCTCTGCGGTTACAACAGAAACATTGGTGGTTATCCTAATGAAAACTTTGCTAAGGAACTCGAAAATGGTTGTCGTATAAGAAACGGAAGATTGGAATGTGGATACGTCGTTGGTCCGTTCACGAATCCACGCCGACCACCGGTCGACGACGTTGTTATTCCTGAGGATGATGACAATGACCCGGCAACAACGCCTATCCAAAAGGATGCAGATAAAAATGCTAGTGGGGAAATTGAAAGTAAAGAGCCGCTTAAGCATTTTACAGCAGAAAATTCTAAAACAGCTACAACTAGATGTTTAGAGATTCGAGAACGTATCGTTTGCCGACATCTATAATTAATTTTTCCTTGAGAAATAATTATCTATAATTAATATTAATGTAAATTTATAAATTGTTACTACTATGACTACTTCATTAACTAAAAGAATTGAGGGTCCATTTTCAAGGACGAATTTAAAAATTCATGAAGGCATAAAGTGATCGATTGGGCCGCAGATCATACTCCTACAACTACCAAGCTAAAATGAGATGAGGCTAGTTTTGGTTAACGACTTTCTGTTGCACTATTGGGCTAAACTAAAACTGACAGGCTCTACTCAACAACATAAACACTGCATTTGGTTAGGACAAGTAAGTAGGTAAGACTTTATGCTTTCATGAAAGAGTGACCGGTTAGCAAAGCAATGGAAGAGTCGGAAGGACGCTTCTTCTCACCCTAAGCGTGAGGTTATATTGTGGATGAAACGTATTATTAACATTTTTACTGCTAGAATAAACAGGTATGATGAAAAAGTTAATTTTACTTCCAAAAGTAATTAAACTGTTCTTTGTATTCTTTTTAATAACGACTCTTGGGTAGTCAGCAAAGTCGCCGAGGTCGATATCAAGGCACTACTTAATCATTGTGCCGCCATTCGTGCAGTCAACTGGCTATCGGCTTACTGCATTAGTAACGTTTTAGAGTTAGATCTTTCAGTTTCAGTTGGCAGGTAGAGGACCTAATAATTCTAAATGGCTGTTCCGTGCTATTTTATTCGCGGGAAACGTTCCTACTTTTCGAACGTTTCTCGCGCCCCGTAGGTCATAATGTGAAGTTAAACATCCTATAATCTCCCTCAAGAATAATGCTATCAAATGCAAAACGATTTTTCCAAACAAACAAACATACTTTTCAGGTTTATTATATTAATTTTAACTTATTAATTCCATTTCTGTCTATCTTTATTATGCGTTCCTCCAAAACCCTTAAGCGATTACAGCGTATAATGATAAAATACATTTACATATAAACTTTTATTTTAACTGTATTGAAGCAATAATGCCTAGTGTGAATTGATTTTTCCTTGATAAATTATTTATATTGTATTCTAATCGTATCTGTCTTTTTTATTATATTTTTTGTGTTTTTGTTTCTGTGATTATGATTATTATTATCTTTATTTTTGAGATGTAGAAATAAAATTAATAAATTAGTAAATTTATTTAATTTAGGCAATATTTGGCTTACAATTTTGGTTAGGTAAAATTAGATACATAATGAGAAAGAATTTTTTTTCTCAAATATAAGTAAAACAGAAAGAAAAATGAGTAAAAATTAGCCGGCAAGGAGCCTTCATTGCTTATCAATTGCAACAAAGAACCGAGTGGATATATTCATTCACTTTTTTAATATTTAGTTTGAGTTTCAACGTTCAGCTAAATACTCCAGAGCAGACAGCCCGCTCTCTAAGTGGGGGCCATCTTCAGCGAACATAGTGAAAATTTCCTTCATTATTGATGTTTCCGAATCATCCTTCGGGAATACGTAGTCTAAAAAGTCAACTATTGTATCGGACATGCTCCTTTTCTCTGCATTTGCTGTTTCGAAAAGATCCTTCAGCCAATTTTCATCGCCATGACACGTGTTAAGTAATAACAAACACAAAAAAACTATACTTATTAAGCTTCTCATAGGATCCATGGCTAGCTGGAAAAATAAATTTTGATTATTTATACGCTGTCACACAATACAAATCCATATTCATAAACTATAACGGATTTATAAAACTTTACTTCCGTTGTTGAACTGTCCTATGTCCATTAAGGTTTCAATAGTGATACGTGTAGAAGATTTTCTTAACTAAATACTTATTAAATCTTAAATCGTGAAAGATACCAAATAGAAATGAAAGAAATTAAAGTAAGTTAGATATTGCGCCTGATGGAAAGCTCTTAGCATAAACATAAGTCAGTAACTTTGCACCTAAGTATACGAAAATCGATTAATTCGCACTGGTGATTTGAGCAGATGAATAAAGATTTGTTTTTTATGCTGTGCAGCAGGTGATGATAAATAAAAATTTAAATAAAACATTTATGATGTATATTGACTTCTTGATACTTATTGTACATATTAAATGAAACTAGTTTACGGATTTTATCGCGTTTTTATTTTGATTTGAATTTTTAACGTTTCGAAAACGCGATAAAATCCGTAAACTATAATAGTTTCATTTAATATTTATGATGTACATAAAAATAGAATCAAAGATCCATCACAACACTCTTAATTAATTTAAACACAGTAAATCTTAGCCCGTAAAGTTTATTAAGAAATTAATGTATGGCGTCGTGTTTTAAATCGTTAGTAAATTAAAACACAAGAAATGTTGCCGGATTGAAACGCGATGTATAATAACTTCACTGAAGTAAGAGGTTATTGATCCACAAAAACCGCTTTTCGCTTACGTTATTTGTTTAATATTTTTGAGGAGAATCATGATCTGTTTTTAAGTTTTTATTTAGAAATATCAATAATCCGTAGGAATAGGTTATACGATAAATATCGTATCGTATTAAATATGGTTATTGACAGGGAGAGTAAAGAAGATGAATAATTGTGTAAATTATTGAAGAAATGTTATGTATATTTACTTATCTAGAAAGCTGGTTAAAAATAGTGTAGTTATTGAAGTTTGTGACTATGAATAGCAATATATCAAAGTTTTCTTTCTAGAAAGATTTTAAGAAAGTCCCTTTGTTGATATATTAAAAGAGTTGTAGAGATGAAGTTTCCAAAGATACAACGCCTTCGAAAAATATAAAGATAGGTGTATCTTACCTGAACATCATATGCTATGTAAACTAATTTTATTTGAAATCGATTGGAGATTAACGCACGCTTTCATAATTTCACCGCACACAATGGGACTCCTCTGATTTTTGTCAGCGTCAATAATCCGAATATCATTGGTACGGACAACCTTATGCAGCGTCCTTCACGAACTGTCGCATGCGACGACAGACCTGCACTGTCCATTGGAAACTTTCCACGACATCCGGACAGTGGTGTGGAGAAATGGTTACGAAATACGTAAATAACGTCTTCATGTTTTTTAATGTCTCGTATACGACAACTGGTGGCATGGCACAATTTTAACTTGCCCTCATGTTTGCCATTGTAAAGAAGGTTATCAACGCATCTGGAACCCTCGGGTGCAGTAGATGTCCATGGGCGGCGGTATTCACATCAGGTGAACCGTTGCTCGCTTGGTAACATTTCCAATAAAAAAAAAAATTCAACATGTTCTCAAATAATTCAGTAATAAAGACAAGTCTGTGTTTAAATTTGAGAAGAAAACATGAAACAAAATTGATCTTTGAATCAAAGATGTACTTGTAGCTTGAATGTGTTAAGGTCACGCTATAGGTGACACTCGTACATTTGTGTATCACTAATAGAATTTGCTCCGGATGTTTTAATTGAATATTCCGAACGTGGCACCGCGACTAGTTATTTTACTTTCCAAAACTTCACGTAGTTTCTTCTTATTATGTATGCTTGTCGTAATGACGCTTCACCGTTGATTGTTGATGGCATACTAATTTTGACGCTGGGTTTGTTTTTAAAATTTGTAGTATTAATTTTTCGTAGAAATAGAATATCTTAAAGTAATTTTACTTGAGTTTTATATTCTTAAGATATTTTGAATCGTTTAAAAATAATTTTTACCCGGCGATGTTGATGTGAATATAATCCTTACTAATATTATAAACTTGAAAGTTTGTATGTATGAATGGATGTTTGTTACTCTTTCACGCAAAAACTACTGAATAGATTTTAATGAAACTTTACAATAATATAGCATAGACATCAGTATAACACATAGGCTATAATTTATAAAGATATTGTGTGAATTGTCCAAAATATAGGTAATGATAAGTGTCAACTAAGTAGGAAAAAATTCAGCCATCTGCTAGATATTCTGGTGTACAATAAAAACTTATTGATAATTCCCTTTGGCCTCGCGGGCGAAGCTGCGGTTAATAGCTACTTTTATACAGGTTGGCTTTTCTAAAGGTGCCAAAATTCACACAGGAGGTTCAGACTCGGTAGTATAATGGTTTATTGAAATAAAAACAAACTTTTTTTTTCAAAAAAATTGCCATTCGATTCCCTAAAAAACAGAACTTATTGACAATGCGGTAGTCATTCATAAATGCGTCGTATACTTTTGAAAGCAACTTGTGTGCGTGTTATTTATGAATGAGAAATATGAAAAATAAATGAGTTGCCCATAAATCACGCACTTTTAGAGATAAGTTCAAATGAATGTATTTAATTAATTACGAGAGACTTTAAATATTTATCATTTTTTATATAACATTATGTATGTCTAAAATTTAATTCAAAAAAATGGATACACTTAGAAAAGCCTCCCTGTACAAATGCAAAATTTATTAATGTTTTGCATGTGTTTAGTTCAGTCAGCCTAAATAAATAAATAAAAAATAATTCATGTATGCTATCAATTATAGTAATCATTATCAAAAAAAGTAAAGTACTCGTATCAGCCTATACATGTCCCACTGCTGGGCAAAGGACTCCTTTGTACAGAGGGTATCAGGGCATAGTCCACCACGCGGCCCCACTGCGGATTGGCGGACTTCACATATATACATATTTCGAAAATATGCAGGTTTCCTTACGATGTTTTCCTTCACCGCTGAGCACGATTTCATTGGTGCCAGCACCGGGGATCGAACTCGGGTTGCTCGAGTATATTGAATTAAAGGCGAGCGCCCGGACACTGAGCTATCACGGCCCTTGTGCGGGATATTAATTAGTTTATTTGAAAATTTTCACATTGATTCCTTGAACGAAATTTGTTTAATAAGATTTTCCACTTGAAATTGCAGCTACTAGTTTTCATTAACGCCTTTAACTACGCTATTGTATCAAAGATTGACATGTATTTATGTATATATGCCTCTTAAATAATGGCTGAACCAATGTTGATGTATCATATTATGTTAGTCTATATTACGCGAATATCTCTGGGTATCGTTATATCTTAACATTTTAAAAATGAAATTGGCGGATTTTTGGCTTTACAATGTATTTTTACAAAGAATTATCTCATGTCGTAATTGGGTTTTATTAGTTTTTTATTAAACATATAAAATCAATAAGTATGGAAGTCACAAAAAGTATTGTACATATATGTTATGAATAATAGCTAGTATTTATTTTATTGTTTTGCGTTACGTTCAGTAAACTGACTACAAGCAAGTAACTTCTTGAAATACGGTGTTTTCATTCGTTATAAATGATTCTTGGTCAAAGACCTCTTCTGTCCTAGATTTAGGCGCCATCGTCAATTTATATGTGAGATTTTTATTATTTATATTTAGAAAAAATTAAGTTTCCTTGTAAAGAAAACTAAAATCCTTGTCCTTGCGTAATACGTGGTTACCGTTTTTGTAAAGAAAGTATAAACTAGACAACAGTGTTGGCATTTGAACTATGTATCACTTATCTGTTTGATTAAAATTTACCCAATATCTTATAATAGGAACATGATATATACGTGTATAATTTCAAATCTTTAAAACCAATCATAATCGAAATATTATTCCTTTTCCATCACCTTGATTTCTTAAACAAGAATGATTAAGTTCACAACACCTTAACCCAGTTAATAAAGGCAGAAACACCCTAGCGTGTACGGTTTAAGGCCATGGAATGACAAATCGCTATTATTATTTCTAAGATCGTTTTCTTTATACAAGTGAAAATCACTGCTAAACAATCATTTTTAATTTGTTTTTCATACAGTGCAGTTCCCTAGTTTAAAATGAAATACTTAGCTGAGGTATTGTATAAGGTACTTTAAAATATTTGACTAAGTACTTAATAATTTTGATTTACATCTTATTCGGTTTATTTTTTTCCAGCTAAGCATAATAATTCTCAGTATTAATTTCGTATATACAAAACCTAGACCTGGTATAAACATCAAGAAGCAGTTCGAAATACAGTTAAATCCAACTCCATTCAAATCGTTGGAATTAATTTTTGAGAGATGGTCTAGATTTGGGAAATTTGGGATCAAGCACAAAATTGAAAAGAGAGAAGTGAATGAAATTGTATCGAAAAAGGAAAAAGACAATTTGATAATTCTTCCTGCAAAGCCCGAATCAGTGACTATCCTACCGCCGCTGGCGCAAAATGTTGCCGTTTTATCAACAGTTCAACCATTACAGAGTACAGAGAAGATTGCTCTGTCAGATTTGATGGAAAACAGTATAATTATTCCCGTTGTTGAGGCTTCTAGTGAAATTACGCAGCCTGTGCAACCTTTCCTTGCAACACCAGGTGAGAAAAACCTCGTGAACACTGTTAATATTCCTGCCGAGACGGCGAAAATAACTTCCACTCCCAGCATTTTGCCACTCCCTGACAAAACAAATCTCGAGCCAACATCACCTAGACTTTATACAAATATTTTAGAGACTTTAAATACGATACCTGTTAAAGGTGTGAATGGCCAAAAGTTAGATTTTCCGGTTATCAACTCTGAAAATCAGAATTTTATCGTCAGAGGGTCTAGATTTGCCATGTATTTCGGATCTATGTTACTGAGAATGCTGTCGCAGTATCTTTCTGGAGGTCGGCTTGCTTTTGCAAACATTCCCGGACAAGATGTCGCTTAGTCATAGAAATACAAACAAGCTGAACTAAGAGAGGCAATCTTTATTTGAGATGGATTTGATTGAAAGAAATATTCATATTAACTTATAATGTAAAATATATTTAAAATATATTAGCGTCTAAAACCACCAAATTCGCCTGAACCACCGCCAAATCCGCCTAAGCCGCCTCCAAATCCACCTGGACCGTCACCAAATTCGCCTGGGGTGCCTCCAAATCCACGTGGGCCTCCACCAAATCCACCAAATCCACCTGGAACTCCGCCGAAGCCGCCTGGGACTCCACCAAAACCACCAAATCCGCCTGGATAACCTTGGCCGAATCCTCCTGGTCCGAAACCACCCTGCCCAAATCCTCCTTGTCCGAATCCCCCTTGACCCAGTCCAGGTTGGCCTAATCCGCCTAGGCCACCGAAGCCACCCGGGCTGCGATATCCTCCGCCGAAATCGTAGTCACCATATCCAGCCACAATATGGACCATGATGGTTATGACCAAGAACAAACTTGACTGAAATTATTACAAAAGAAAATTACTTATCGACCAATACAATAAAAAATATAAAAAAAGATATTATCACGGCTTAAATAAAATAATGCCATCTTTAGTTTATAATACAATATTTTTATGATATAAAACTAACTTACTTTATATAACGCCATTGTTATATTGTACATTGGCCACTACTCTAAGTAAACTATTCAAAATATATTCAGATCGCGTTTAAATATTTGCCATAGGAGCTTTTTTGGGGTTCTAACTTGTATTACCAGTTTCATAGATTTCGCAACATGATGTTCAAACTGTTCAAACAGTAAAGTAGTTAAAGAGATGCGTTTGTTGTTTATTTTTTTTGAGTTTCGTCAAATATTTTTAAATTAATGTACAACGGGATGAATTACTTAAGGATATTTTTGTAGAATGAAAAAATTATTTTATCTCCCGACATAATACTATTAAATATTAGTTTCCTAAATAAGTAATAGGAGGCCTTGATATAATTTATTTGTAATTTTTGTTATTGTAATATATGTGAACAATTGCACAAATAAAGTTTTTTGAAACTATAGATTATAGTTGTTATCTATATTTCGGCCTTATTATTAAAATTCATAGTTTTGAGAACCATTGAATGAAATCGAGCATAGGCAAAACCTGTTAGATTTCACGTCTTTATGTTAAACGGTAATTTCATTTAATTTACATACAAGCTCTAAAAATAACTTAAACATAAAATAAAATGTTTACGAGCCAAAAATATAAATTTGGTGGCATACAGACTGTTTAAAACCAGACTTCTTTTTTAAATGAATCTTTGGTATATTCTTTTACAATACAATTCTTTTTTTTATGTGAAAAGGTCGTAAGCGCAGGGCCGCATTTAGAGGTCTGGAGGCCTCGGGGCAACAAAGGAGTGAAGGTCCCTTGGCTCCAAATTATTTTCCAAATAAAATGAACAATTTTTTTCAGTCAAGTTATCCAATAAATAATAATAATAATTTATTGTGACCAAGTATACCAAGTATAGATTCTTTTATTATTTAACGAACATGTAAATATCTCAATTGGAAACAAGAATTATCTAAAATTAAAAGTTTTTTACAAGTCTGAATTGAAGTCTCTATTGTCGGAGCTCTGCGTAAGCGAGCGGGCGTTTTACCTGATGTTAAGTGATAACCGCCGCCCATGGATATTTGTAACACACGTGGGGTTGAAGATGCGTAGTCACCTTTTAATAATATAGGCCCCGGCTACCTCACCTCACTCACCAGACGAAACGCAGAAATATGACATTTTCACGTCACGCGCGCCGTTCTTCTGTGAGGTCGTGATACTTACCCGGACCGACCTGCCTATTCGCGCAACAGCCGAAGTTGTTGCATGGCTCTACCACAGTAAATGAATCACTCAAGCACATTTCATTTTACAATCAATCAGTTCATGTAAAATCTTTTTAGGTTATAATTGAACGAATTAGTTCTCTTTCAATAATCCTTCTTACAAATAATTATTCAAATGAGTGACATGTACCAGTCTAGTTCAGATTATGATTGAAATACATAACTATGGTCCCATTTTCATTATATTTATTTGTTTATTATGGTTATTTATATGCCTTCAGATTTATTACCTATCGACTTCCAAAGGGAGAATGCAGAGTGCTGTTGGATTGGCAATATACTCAAACGGAAAAGGCACTTAGTAATAACACGGATATTAATAATTCCGCCATTGAAATATAGCAATAACATTGTATAGGACATAAGAGCTAATACTAAATGTATGGTGTATTTATTTTATACAATAAATAATTTAAATTGTTTATAGTGCTAATCTCTGCACTTAAGATTGAACATTAAAATATGTAGAAAAACGTAGACGTTAAGATTTTCGTCGCTGTGGCAATCAGCCGTTTAGCTTAGTGGTTAAAGCGTCAGGCTGCGAATGCCGAAGATGTGGGTTCGATTCCCACAGCGGCGACAATCTTTTCGTACTTTTTCTACATATTTCAATAATAAATAATTGTGAAGTTTTCAATATTCTCAAATGTGTACCAAATGTTTTCAAAACAAACCGCATAATTATTCATCCTCCATGATATCAATTCAATAACTCATTAAAAAGTCGGATCTTGTGTAAATGTACTCATGGAACCCTAACTTTTTTGATGGAACCAAAATTATTCGATTTTAATTTTTGGTTAAGGTTATATTTTTGTGAGTATTCGATTTCAGATCGTAATTCGTGTGCCCTCAGCGGCCAGGATTGGTCTATACTTTATATTGTAAATATTTAAAATATTTTTTTTATAATTACAACATATCAAAATGCGTAAGGTGAAATAATGGTTTGCGAATATTATAAAATTACGTAATATTTGTACAAGACCAATTCTTGTTGATAACAAATGTTGCTGAAATATTGGAACCTAGTTGTCGCTGTCAACGAAAACAGCAAAGCAATTAAAATTGTGAATCCGCCGCAACGTTAAAAGCAACAATGTTAATTGACGGACATCGCTGATGATAATGATTTTACAAAAACGTTGACATCGTTAGTTACTAGTGCTTGAAACCGTTCGACGTGATGCGGGACACGGGTTAGGATTTAATCTTTGTGAAACTTCAGAAACTGTTCCCGTTTCTGAAGTTTCACAAAGAATAAATATAGAACATATTGTCAAAAATACATTTTAATTTATTAAAGGAATTACTTCCGTATTGTTAAGTAATTTCTATTTCGCGGATACAAAACATACCCATACTCGGCACGGCTATTTATGGAACACACAAGTTTTATCCCGTGCGAGTATCGAACCTACAATAGCACCCAATGGTGGTTGACAAGGCTAATGCTGCCATTGCAGTACCCACATAATTAAGAAGCATACTTTCATTGTTTATAATAACGAATAACGAATGGTTTAATTATTTCATCTGTTTAAATACCGTTTGCGATAAAAAAGTGCATGTAAAATTAAGTAAGGAGCAAAATTATATTTTTAAGTAATGGTTCCTATTTTGCGAATAAAATGAATCGTCGAGTGTGACGGTATCAATGTCGACCGCGTGCGGCGTTGCACTGTATAAGATGATGCATTCTCACAGCATTTAAAACAAACACGCGCAAAATTGCGCACTCACATAGACATATATATAAATAGGACGATGGGTACAATGAGCACAAAATTAGAACAGTTACAGTTACTACTTTTTATAATTTTTAAAACAAATTTAAGATTTTAAGTTTTTAATCACACTTAATTAAGCATGCTTATTTTATTTACAACATTACTAAAACGTACACATACTTCATTGAGAAACAACTGAGAACAGAATTCTTTTAAGGAGCAACGCTACTCTTATAAAAACTCATTCAATGGATAATAACAGATAATAAAACTGCCTACCGCTGCCAGTATCATGGTCCAAAATAGCTATTTCATATTACTTGATTTAAGACGCTAAACGATATGAACCAACGGAATGAAAAAGTCACGTCTAATAATAGGATACTTTGTCGTTTGCATTAACAATTAATGACAATGTTTAACCGCGGCCGAAACCACCAAATCCGCCTTGGCCAAATCCACCTTGGCCACCACCAAATCCTCCCTGGCCACCACCAAATCCCCCTTGGCCACCACCAAATCCTCCCTGGCCACCACCAAATCCTCCCTGGCCACCACCAAATCCTCCCTGGCCACCACCAAATCCTCCCTGGCCGCTACCAAATCCTCCTTGGCCACCACCAAATCCTCCCTGGCCGCCACCAATTCCTCCCTGTCTGCCACCAAATCCACCTTGGCCAAAACCTCCCTGAGCAAAGCTCACACCCACAAGGGCTAATATAAGGGCGAAAATGATGATACTCTGTAAATAACAATAGAAAATATTAGTAATTCTAAAATGAGATTTGTTTTACACTGGTATTTTGGCAAAATCATTAAAAAATTTAAAATTAATGTTCAATTTCATTGATATAAAAACCACTTAAAAACGTCTAAACATGTATATTATAAAATAGTTGATGACGCCATAATTATAGAGGGTATAAAAACTATTTAAGAATTATATAACCTGTTCGACTAAAAAACAAGAATAAATTGATGTGTGTTACCTTTGTTGCCGCCATCGCTGATTCTTTACGGAACATTAGATCTCTTGTGACAAATCCTTCCTTTATATACTTATTTCGAATTCGCTAATGTTTTCTTTTTAGAATCTGTTTATAAGGAAAATATTAAGAATGTGATTTCCAAACTTTCTTAAATAGATTAAATAAATTAAGCTAAGTTTATGTAATTTTAGGTTTTATTGACTCTTATGGTTTTAGTCAGTTTTGGGTTTCGTTTATTAAGAGAACATGTTTTGATTGTGACCCATGAAATAATCGTTTTCATAGAAGAGTCAATAGTACGTCAAACAAACACTATAGAGCTAGAGAATATTTCCGTGTTAAAGACAATAAATGTGAGGTTCATCAATTTTGGAGCCACTTTTTCTTGCCACGGTCAGCAACGATTATTGCTATGCAGACGATAGCACTGTGAATGTCTGGCCGTGATAACATTTCAACAACATTCGGGAATAAGTTTCCGAGAGCCGGAACAAGTTAGTATCTGAAGTCGAGATTTTTGTAACCAAAATCTCAAATCGGGGTCGACAAAACTTGTCCGATTCAACCACAAAAATACTCAAGTTTGCGCGTTAACCGCTAAAAAGTCCACATTTATCGTAACTCCCAATTTTGAGAAAATTCCCCAGTCCGCCACAGCTAGTATCGGAATACATGGCGTCGTTTCGATCAACGTCTAATTCCTCGAAATGAAAACAAGCGTTCCGATTTCACACTATTATCACACAAATAATTTACTGTAAAAACTTTAACAAAGCGTAAAATAAAAACTATCTATTTAGTCATATAATTTAAAGTTTGAGAAACAATTTTAACATACCTTAATATCAATACAAAACCCAATTTCGAGTATGCCTTGGGATGAAGTCATTGGTTATTATTCAGTGAATTGTTAAAACAAATATTAGTCACCCTGACATAATGTATCCAACAAATTTACCTACTTCATGTTTAAGTATGTTATTTTGACTTAGTTTAGGTAAGGGTAAATTCGTTCTTTTTTTGAAGTAAGAATCATTTAATACATATATATAGATAGGAGACACATCTTGTGAATTACAGTGCTTGTCTAACAAATTTGTATATTTTAAGTCGTAAGACGGGACTGCTGGAGAGTGCTAAACTTCTTATACACAGCCATTATTTACTGCACTACCAAAGCTCGGTGGTACTATATTCTAGGCGGTCTAGCTTTACCAGGTTTTTGTTATTTTGATTTATTTATGTGTTGATAAGTCTTAATTTAAGTAAAATATTGCTATAATTTTTTTAAATATAATATTCGCTACGCTTCTATATACGCTTTCTGGGTCATCTAAAAGAAACATTTCTTCCCATGTTTAATGGTACAATTGTCAAATGAAAGCTAAAAATATTCTAACACCGAAGTGGCTTGGTTAATAATTTATTAAAACATGAGTTCCTTTGTTGCTCTATTAACTTTCTAAGGTAAATTAGAACACAATTATAGGAAAATCTGCAAACAATGTTCTAAACAATGTTTTCAAATTTTAAATATCGCTGCAAAATAAGTGTTGGAGAATCAAAAAAATATTTCATAAACACAGATAGACCTGTTTTATTTATTTGATTATGTAAAATGATATGGAGGATACGAACATTTATTAATTAATAACTATTATACAGTTTTTCTTTTTGGGCCTTTTTAATGAAGTAACCGATATCGGGATACGCGTAAACCGGTGTGTGATACGGAGCAGGAACTCCTCCGTAGAAATTGTATGGATATGTATAGAGTCCGGATATAAAAGAAGACTGCATGTACTGCGGTTGGATTATACCGAATTTATCATTTGACGTGTCTTTCGCTGGTTTCACTCTATGATCATACGGAAAAATTATGGGATTCCAAGGATTTGGGTCACGATATTTTTCATCTTCATTATACGGATTTGGTTCGTAAACATCACAACGTAACATATTGAAAACGGAGAAAACAATGAAAAGATATACTTTCATTTCGTAAGAACAATTCAAATAAAACATATGGAGTTGACTGGATATATTTCTTTTGCGACGCCGTTTTAAATATAAATATTTGAGCGTAATCCGTAGAGGCGACGACTTATTGTAATTGTAGGGAAAACCAATAGTTTATATCTTATCTTTATTGTTCAGTTATCTTGGTAAAAGCCCGAGTGGTTATGCCTTTTTCATAATTGCATAGACATTGTAAACATCTGCGTATTTAAAAAAAATCGTAGGGACGAGTAAATAAACTCATAATCGTTTCTCACCGTTTCTCGCTTGCAAATTCACACATGTGGGCACTACATTTTTGCCTTAATATAATGTGTTAATAATTTTGTTAATGTTATCTATTTTTTATCAATCTTTGATATATATTTTGGCATTTAGTCTACCTAATACCTATATACCTAAATGTCATAGGTTAAAGTCGATTTGAAAATTGATTGATGGATCGGTTGTCGTAATGCGAAACGACATGCTTCCATCGTCGGATTATTCAATATTCTATAAGGTTGTCCTTTCGGATACGTGAGTGATGATGTGAAAATAAAACAAAAGTCTATATTGCGCGAAGTATACAACTAGATGATCCTGTGGCGCAGTTGCCAAAGTATTGGCTTCGGAAATTTATTCCCACAAGAGAAATCTGTTTTTGTTATCCACAGATAATAGTTTCGGAACTGGTTGTTTGTCAACGTGAAATGTATATATGTAAAACGTCTTACAACAAAAGATAATGTTATCCTACAGTAAGGCAACGTTTCCGAAGGGAAGACTATAATAGATCGATCGGAACCTGATAGTCTGCGTTCGGACTAACTACCCAACCACTTCCACAAAAATACAAATACAAGTTCCAAAAACCGGTTTCCAGAGAATTTCTCATTTCCGAAACGCTCAAATGTGTCGCGTTTAGTATAAATCGTATCTCATTATGCCGTTTTTTTTATTGTTCATATAATTTTGTATTTATATCGTTTGTTTTTTCTTTGTTATTAGTCTGAAACTAAATGGTTGTTCTGATTAAATTATTATAATATAATTATTTCTATAAAAGTGGACGTGCTTTTGGCTGTTGATGTAAACTTTAGAATGATAGACATCGTATTTATTGACCGCATACAGTGACGCGTCCGTGACTGATATCTCATTATCCTTACTACTGGAGATATTGTGGGGTTAGAGGAATATCTATATAATTTCTACGGTGGTAGGGTCACGCTGTAGCCTCGGCTGTTGCACGATTAGGCAGGCTCGTCCGGGTAAGTACCACGACCTCACAGAAGACCGGCGTAAAGTGGAAGTATAATACTTTCGCGTTTCGTCTGGTGAGTGAGGTGGCCGGAGCCCAATTTCCAAAAAGTTGTCAACGCATCTGCAACACTCGGGTGTAGCAGATGTCCATGGGCGGCGGTATTCATTCAACATCAGGTAAGCCGTCTGCTCGCTTGGCAACTTTTCATATTAAAAAAAAAAGAGCGGTACAGCTACTGACCGATTTCACCGCTAGGAGCAAGGACTCTTACTTTTAGTTCGTTTCAGAATGTTAGAATTTAATTAGAGCCGTATTTAAGTAAGCTCCGTTTATGCGCATCTCAAATTATATTTGTAAATCAATAGGAAATAGGAAACCTTTTATTTTGAGAGCTTATTATATCTACGTTTCATTTTTACAGAAAATTATTAAATATGGTACGCTTGTCGATATTCAATTTTGTCCATCATAACATGTGATGTGGCGACTCATTTGCTACTGTGTAGCACCGCTCTTATCTTGTACACCCTTAAGGCCCATTTACACGATTCCATTTTCTTGTACATACAAGAGCAATAATTGAATGCAATAAATTGCGCGCAATAATTGTTTAGACCATTTGTTGTTTAGACCATGCAACTCATTTATTGCTTCAATTTAATTGTATACAACAGGCAAGAAACTGGCACCATGTAAATGGGCCTTTACTCTCATCGCTCTAGCATTACCCTAATATTGACAAATGACTATAGCAACGATTGACAATAAAAGATTATGGTTTTCTCAACACGGCTTGTTCTTTGTACTGCATCTTAATTATTCCCTCCTGCCGGCTCCCAAAACGTAAATAAAAGCATATATAGAAACCTTGCTTAATAATGATCTTTATTGTTCTTTATTACATCAATATAAAACCAGTACAATAGCGGCTAACTTTTTAGTGTACGATGTGTATATACATAAAGAGTTTTAATATAATATATAAATTAAAAGATTATAAAAATTAATGTGGTTAATATAAGAAGGTACGGGTAAGAGGGATGAGGATTTTGTCATAGCGCAAGTTTGCTGATGATGGTTGCTGTATCACTTGTCTTCAGTCTGGTCATTCACGAACTGTCCGATATTGTTAACTGTAGAGTTATTAGAGGCTGCCACAGTATTTTTTGAAGAATTAAAATCCGAATCGAATGCTTTCCGATCTGTTATTATAATGATTATTGCTTGTTCACCCTCTTGAGACATAAGAATCAGTACGACAAGGCACGAAACTATCTTCTGTAACAGATGTTGAAAAAAAATGATTATCTGATACCCGTAAAAGTAAATTAAGGTAAGGCCTATATTATATGTACCACTGCTGTACAAAGGCCTCCTCTGTGAAGGGGGTATGAGGGCACAGTCCACCACGCAGCCCCACTGCGGATTAGCGGTGCGATTATACGGAAACCTGCGTATTATACGCAGGTTTCGCACGATGTTTTCCTTTGCCGCTAAGCACGTGATAAGATAGCACTTAAAATTAACAATTTCATTGGTGCCGGCACCGGGAATTGAACACAGGTTGCTCGAGTATATTGAATTAAAACGAGCGTCAGGATACTGAGTTATCACGGCTCGTCAAAAAATAATCAATCAAGAACTAATTGTATACTACTACAACTATTGTATGGCCATCACTGAACCTACCTGATTGTACACTTGTCTTAGAGTTAATTCCTTAACCAAATTGAGTGGTGTCCGCGACTAGAGCTGAAGAATTGGAGGGAGATTTTTTTGCACTTTACAGGGGTGGAGCAATTACAGCATAGAACTAGGTGGGTATTGTATTATTAACATTAGCGACAATAAATGCAAAACCCTTTAATAGCAAATACGAGAAAAGGTGGAATGACTGTCGCAATTCCGGAACAAACATTAGACAGAATTGAAAAACATACAGCATTAGAAGTGAAGTAGACCGCTAAAGCATTTAAAAATGGTAAAAATGAAAAAAAAAAATAATAGTAGGATGAAACGAATTGGAAATTTTGGTTTTTTATTTTTATCTATTACAAAACTGTTTTTCCCCCCCACGAAAGTTGGTGAAAACTTTCCTATTATGTCCCAAATACACTGAAATTTATTTGATTTGAAATTTAATTTTTTCACCTTATTTTGACTCAATATCGAAAAGCATCCTAACTATCAATCGAAAATTCTCGCGTCAAAATATCAGCTTTATTAAAAAAGTCGGTGGGCTTTTTGTTCGTTGAAATCTCAAATTTCATATGGTATAAAAATATACGTTACTGTGCTTAATGTTCTCTTCTTTACTTGCTCTTCAAATAATAATTAATTTATAGAGATTAACAGTTTATTACAGTTACAACATTACTATTTGGGTTGTGATAATTTTATTACTAAATCAAAAAAAAATATTTATTCTAATTTATTACGTCATTTATTATCAAGCAAGAACATTTGGATGTTAATTAATTAATGGACGTATTTCAAATATTTAACAAATAGATTTCATCTTAACTTCCCTATCTTATAAAATTGATCATTAAAATATATAGATTGGAAGAAAATTTTCTCGACGGCGGTCTAGAGTGACTTTCGTCTATGACGTCTCGAACAGTTAAACCGGCATTGATTTTGTACCCTTTGATTTTTAGTTTCGCTATTTCGTTTTTTTGGTTTGTTTGTTTGGTTTGATGTTTTCCTTCACCGGTAAACACGTCATTATTCAGCACTTAAAATAAACAATATTGTTTGGTGTCATTACCGGGGATTAAATTCTGGTTGATTGAGTAACTAGGTAAGTACCCTTGAATTAAAAGCGAGCGCTTGGACAATGACCTATCTTATCATCATCATCATCATTTCAGCCTGTTTGAGTCCACTGCTGAACATAGGCCTCCCCCACTGACTGCCACGAAGCACGATTCTGAGCCACCTGCATCCATCAACTTCCCGCACACTTGCACAGGTCGTCACTCCGTCTAGTGGGGGGTCGTCCAACACTGCGATGGCCAGTACGAGGCTGCCACTCGAGAACCTTTCTTCCCCAACGGTTATCAGTTCTACGAGCTACATGGTCGGCCCAACGCCACTTCAGCTTACTAACCTTCTGAGCTATGTCGGTTACCTTTGTTCTACTGCGGATGTCTTCGCTGCGAACTCTATCACGCAGAGAAATAGCGAGCATAGCCCGCTCCATAGCTCGCTGAGCGACATAGCTGGCCAGCAGTGAAGGACTACGTCTCAGTTCCGTATGTCAACATTGGCAACACACATTGGTTGAAGAATTTAGTCTTCAAACATTGAGGTATATTCGACCAGAAGATTTGCCGACGTTTCCCGAACGCTGCCCATCCGAGTTGGATTCGCCGATTAACCTCTGCGTCGAAGTTGGACTTACCTAGCCGGACTAACTGTCCTAGCTATATGTACTCGTCAACAACTTCGAGAACAGTGCTCCAAAAAACAACCGGTATAGGCGTGACATGGACATTTGTCATGATCTTCGTCTTGTCCATGATCATCTTAA